GATACATCGTCTTTGATCAAAACTAACATGAAATTCGAAATCAGAACCCCGAAAAAACTCCATAACAACCTCACTTTAACCCTCGCCCGCACATGGGGGGGGGGGTGGTTGCCACCCCCCCCAGGCAGTCTTTCTGCTCTGCACTCAACATTTTTAGAGCTAGAAGGCTGATTTTTCGTATAGCTGCTCGTCTATCCTTTCTTGATGTCCACTGAAAATTTCAAGTTTCTGTGATTTTTGGTTTCGGAGATATGACCTTGTTTTTCAGGTCATGTCATGACCCAAATGGCCAATTCTCAACATCTTGCGTTTGCCATGGGCCTTGTGAGCTTTTGACACCCTGATTTCGGCCTTTTTTGCCAGTCTTACCTCCCACCTATCATGGAACATGTTGTTCGACGATGTACAGGGGTCAAGGTCAGGGTCAAGGTCAACCTAGGTCATCTAAGATAATTGCGTTTTAGGCAAGCTGAATTTACTTTTTGTGAAGTTTTTTGACTGCATTTTTGGTAAAAGCTTCTCAGATCATGATTTCATGTGATATGGACCCAAAAACAATCGGTGCACACATCAGTATACACACAGACACACACAGACATACAAACACATATAATTGACCTTGACCTAACTTGACCTGAAATGACCTCAGCAGCAAAATTCTGGTCGGATAGTGTGACAAAGAGGTTCTAGCTGGCTTGGAACCAGAAAACAGCATCGTCATCGGTATTTGATAAGCAGCGCACTTGATATCCAACGGTGACCCAAAACAGCAACATTTTTTAGTTTGACCTGACCTGGAAGGTCAATGACTGACCTGAGAATGTAAAACTGGGTATCATTGGATTCGTCTCTTCCCAAAGAATCTTTTTGATCTTTACTGCTAAGCTCTATCTCCAACAGGAACGAAATGGCGCGGGGGGGGGGGTGGCAACCACCCCCCCCCATGTGCGTTCTAGGATGGGAAAATGGCATGTGCGGGCGAGGGTTAAAAAGTTAAAATAGGCCACGATTTCCCTGACTTTTAAGTCATTTACCCGAATTGAAAGGCCAATTATTGACCGGGGATCTTAAAATCGGGTAGCATCGGCTTCTTTTGGTCACGGGTAGGACGATCATGTTTTCGCGAAGCTATAGTTCGGTTAGGGACTGAACGATTGGGGATTCAACAGAATCCCCCCCCCCCCCATTATATGCTAGCGGCTGAAAACGCTAACACGGAAGAGGTTTCAAAGAGCATACAAACACAAGTCCTTAATCCTAGCCCGTATTGATGTTTTGAAAGCCGCGAATGTATGGGGGAGGGGGGGGGGGGGGTCCGTTGGACACCCCCTTGTCGTTCGGTTCCTGATCAAGTCCCTTGGCCCTTGGTTCATTGGCAATTTCTCGTTATTACTTTACGATCATAATGAATATATTTGTTACATTGATCTTTCTCGTACGACCAATAACGTACTCGTATTACAAAATGGATGTCACCATTAAGTTATACGCCAAAATGTGGGTACCCATAAAACATATGTTTTATGGGTACCCACATATGGAATATGTCATATTCCATGATAGCCAACTTTGATTTTCGAGGATTTGCTCTTTCCTGGTTGACCTAACCTTACATTGACCTTGACCTGGCCTATGCTTAAGTGATCCCTGCTTAACCCGCGCCCCGTAGGGGGGCCGAAACGGCCCCCTCCCTTTCCTTTTCCGTCGATATCTCCTGAACGGCTCGAAATATCGCCAATTAACTTTCAGGACCCCTCCGGGCATCAATTTTACACATTGTAACCGCAATGTTTCCAGAGGCTATAATAAGTTGGCCACAAATGACGTCAGAATGACGTCATGTTCTGCCATTTTCGACCGAAAAAAGACCTTCGCGAGAAGAGCTGTCAGGCCTACAGCTTTGAAGATACAGAAAAATGATCAAGACTTAGAAGGTGTAGAATCAACAGGGCTACAAAACTGCTACCTCGGATTTTAAAATTTTTGAGTTTTAGTCCTCAAAAATAAAAAAATTGATTTATTAGCCAAAAAATTTAAAAAAAACTTGAGTTTCGAAAAAACGGAATACATGTGATAGTACCCACCATTTTCTATCTACATACCAAATTTCAGATCGATATCTCGTTTTTTTTGCTAAGTTATAGCGAAAAAAACGTTCAAAAATGATGACGTAAAATTTTCAAACTCATTTTTTGGCAATTCTAGACGACTTAGGGCAAAACAAAGACCATTATTAGACTCCCCGTGACGAGCTGCATGGAATCGATACCCATTTTATGCAAAAATATCAACTTTGAAATTTGACCTAATTTGACCTGACCTTGACCTGACCTTGACCAAAACGTGACCTAAGCTGGCCCCAAAGGCTGCCTGACCCACATAATCGCATTTGTCATGTAAAATGGACCATAAAACATGTATCACACGACACTTTCATATTGTGACCCCCAGTGACCTGACCTCTGTGACCTGACCTGGTATCAGTGACCTCAGATAGTCAAGTATGTGTTTGACGAACAATGTACTATCGATGGTTTTCAATAACTTACCAATTTACTCGAGTTCCCAACACATTTCTTGAAATGTCTGTGAACGGTGAAAATCCAACCTTTGACCTGACCTGTGACGTCATCGGTTTGACCTAGGTCAATGAAATTTGGTCACAAGGTAGTTCCAGGGTGGAGCTATCGAACGCCGTTTGAATTTTGAAAATCAGCCGGTAAATTTGCGAGATCTTATGGGGGCCAAAACGCCCCCCCCCCCCTACGGGTGGTAGGGTCCGCCGATAGCCCTACGGGGCGCGGGTGAAATCTGACGCTTGTGTAGCACTCAGATGAAAGATTGTGCGTAATCCTGACAGAGTTTGTTACGAGAGACGCCTAGTTTGAGGTTTAAAGTCCATGCTATTAAAAGCCTAATTTCAGGTGTTTGAAATAATTCTAAACCGACCTGTGACCTCGGAACTCAACTTAAAGGTACTCATCAGAAGCGTCTCGTCTCGTTACTTTGTTTGCTGCCTCGCCCGTTTCGCTGCGCATCGAGCTATGGGCTATGGGCTATGGGTTCTCGAGCTATGGGCTGGGAAAGTTACCCCCTCCCACCCCCCCATCCCCCACTCAGCAAGTGGTGTGTGGCGAAATACTCCAGCAACTGCCGGTTTTACCCTCGCCCGTATTGGTGTTTTGCTAGCCTCGAACGTATGGGGGGTCCGTTGGAACCCCCCTTGCCGTTTGGCCCCTGATCGAGCTAGAGCTTCGAGAAAAACGAGCGTGTTGCTCGTGACGAGAGGAAGCCGGTGATACCAAATTTTAAGGTCCTAGGTCATTGGGTTGACTTTCCATGTCAGGTCAATGACCCAAAAGTCGGGAAAATCGGGACCTGTTAGAACATCGTAAAATGAGGTTGCTACGTTTTTTTTTCGGGATGCTGATCACGAATTTCATGTTAGTTTTGATCACAGATGATGTCTTAATGCATTTAGGCTTGGTCAGGTCAGGTCAGGCTAGGCCAACCAGTAGACATCCTGCCAGGTATTCAATACTAGTACGTGTCAACCGTTACTGACAGCTTCGTAACATGTTACGAAGACACCAAAACGACTTCGTAAATGCTCAAATGGTTGCTAAATTCGAAATCAGCTCCTAAAACTAGCATAGAAACATGTAAAACTCGAAGAAGTGAACCGAGGTCATCAAAGGTCATTGACCTGACCTGACCTTCAGGTGACCTTGACGCCCACCATAATGCATGGGACCGGTATCATATCACATGTTTGAACGCCTGAAACCGCAAAAAGACTGCAAACGCGCGGCTAATACGAGCCGACATACGCCGGATCGCGATTCCGGCCAAACATGGTCTCGAAAAATAGGCCACAGGTCAACGTTCATTTGGGAAAGGATCATGAAATATTAAGGGTAGGTGTAAAATTGATTGACTCGAGGGTACTGAAAGTTGAATCGGTCCGTTCGATCCCCTTCCCCCTATACGGGCGAGGGTTAAGTAATTTGAATTTCATTTGCAGTTTTCAATTTGATTTACGAATTATGTTCCGGCAGCTATTGTCAAAATAAGCAGAATGCAACTCTATGTACCAAGCGCCACTTCGTTCCCCGGCCCGCAGGGAGCGAGAATGTAACTAGTCAGGCACGGCCTTGGCCGTTTCCTCTGGGGCCGCGCCGTCTGCCGAGGGAGGGGAGACCTTGCCCAGTCTGAGGGAGGGGGACGACGGCGCCACCGGGACGCCCGTCGCTTCGAGACCAGCGCTCACTGTATAAACAAGCAAAAAACGCTGGCCGTGCAAAGTTTGTCTGTGCTTTGACAGAGGAGGCATCTAGCGGAATATTTCGTAACTACGAAAACTTCTAACAAAGATGTCGCTTGAAGCGCAGTTGAGATTGTAGGTTTTGATCCAACTGAAAATTGACATCTCAAGGACGACGAAATAATAAGAATTGATATGAAATGGTTTTGTATGATGCGTACTTTGATTAATGCCATTAATTTTCCACTGCCTTTTGTGTGAAACGATTTTGTACCTTGCGATTTTGTATGACACGATTTTGTATGTTGCGCTTTTGTATGTTTTGACTGTCCCCTACCCGGCCTGTTTTGTAGGTTTTGCGCGTTGTATGTTACGATTTTGTATGCTTTGTTGATTGTATGATAAGATTTTGTATGCTTTGATATGGAGCCCATCGTAACATGTTGAAAGAAATATAGTTCGCTATATCCAATACACAGACAACTTAGAATAACACTCGAAAAAAACAAGTTTTTTGGTGCTCAGCCAGCACAGCCCAACCGACGACCACAAAAGGATTGCTGAGGATTCCCATCGTTGCACGACACATAGAATCAAAAGGTAAAGGCAAAAACCGTGCAAGGATGCTGTCCATTTGTTAAAAAATGGCGTGTCTATTCTCCTGCGTCCCAATTCACCCGCCTCTCCCCTACATTGTTTTAGTTATAGCTCGCAATGTTTTTCTGGTGTGTTTCAGCCCAGCGCTCCTGCAAGAATGATTATGACTGCCCTCCGGCTAAACCGTACTGTGGAAACGGACTCTGTCGCCGTAAGTTGGTGGTAGCTTTTCACGCTTTACTTCTCCATGCATGCATTTCCATGCATACATGTTTACCCTCGCATGTGTGCGGCGTTTGCCAACTTCTAATGTGTAGGGGGGGGGGGGGTCGGTTGGACCCTCCCCCCTTGCCGTTTGGCCCCTGATCGAACTAGAGCTTCGCGGAAAAAACGAGCGTGTTGCCCGTGACGAGAGGAAGCCGATTATATATACCCAATTTTCCAAGGTTATCGGTTGACCTTCCAGGTCAGGTCAATGACCCAAGAGTCGTGGCTGCCAAGGGGTTTTTCGGGGTGCTGATCACGAATATCGTGTTAGTTTTGATCACTGATGATGTCTGTAAGCATTCAGACCAGGTGGGTCAGGTCAGGTCAGGTCAACCAGTAGGGGTCGTGACGGGTATTCGTAGTACGTGTCAACCACCTCTGACAGCTTCATAATATGTTACGAAGGCACCAAAACAACTTCGTAAATGTTCAAGTTTGTAAATTCGAATTCAGCTCCAAAAACTAGCCTAAAAACATGTAAAGCTCGAAAAAGTGAACCGAGGTCACCAAAGGTCAGTGACCGGACCTGACCTTCAGGTGACCTTGACATCCACCCAAATGCATGGGAGCAACATCAAATCACATGTTTGAACGTTTGACACCACGAGAAGCTTGCAAACGCGCGGCTAAGGCAAGCCGACACACGCCGAATCGCGATTCCGGCCAAACATGGCCTCGAGAAATAGGTCACAGATCAAAGGTCACTTGGGTCAGGGTCCAGAATGCCACACTACTTTTTAACTTAGTTTTCTTGTTTTAACCCTATTCCTGGCGGGGGGGGGCCTCAGGAGCCCCCCCCTGAGGTTTTTTGGTTATATCTCCCAAACGCGTTGAGCTAGGAAGCTAAAATTTTCTGACTTTTCCTAAAAGGCTTCTACGCAACATGTCTGAAAATTTTGAGTTGATCTGACCTCAGGTCAGGTCACCAGAGGCGTTTTGGTGACGCTACCTCAGAAAAGTTTGCAATCACGCCAGAGCTAGAGTTTTTGACCGATCAATTTCTTCTCTTCAGAGTTTAGTTAGGGTACCAGTATGTGCAATTTGTATATCTCGGAATTTTGATATCGGTGACCTAAGGTCAGGTCAATTTCGCGACCTCCCCATTATAAGTCAATGGGGGAAAAATCAACTCCCTGTTTTTACCACTAAAACGGGTCGGAATGGCCCCATATACCATACATGACTTCATATACGATCAACCTTCACTACCTTGAGGTCTGTTTTGCTGTTGGGCAGCTGTGAGGTCATGTGACGTCATCAAAGGTCACCAAAGGTTTTTGGCCAATAACTCCGTACAGGAACAAGATACAGACGCGTGGATGGTCTCATTGTGTTCAGCTCGTCAAGACGCATCGAATGATATACATGATGACCTCGAGGTCACGTGACCTGAGGTCAACCTTTGACCTTGACCTTTCGAGGTCAACATATATATCATTCGATGCGGATTGACGAGGGGATCACGATGATGCCCTTAGTTTGTTCCTATCTTGACTAATTCGAAAGTTATTCGAGAAAAACTCTCTCCATATCTAGCGCCGCCATTTTGACTTTTTCGACCCCTGTGACGTCATCTTTGACCTGACCTGAAAATGACCTTAGTAAAAATTGTAGATCTTGGCCGTGCGTATCCGATGCCGTTTACCGCTTGTCGCTATCTTGCTTCGTTCTCGAGATCTCAGGGGGGGGCCGAATCGGCCCCCCCCCGCCAGTTTCTTGTCCCGGCGGAGCCCGCCAGGAATAGGGTTAAACATCCGTGATTCATGAATGAAATAATCTCGTTTAACCCGCGCACCGACGGGGGGGGGGGCGGATATCCGCCCCCCCCCCTGAGGTTTTTCGCGAATAGCGGGAAATTTGGTATGACTATTCCCTTATCAATTTTACACATGGTGTGCAAGTTTGAACCTCCTACCTTTCAAGGTCAGGTCACCAGGTCACTTTGAATGACCCAACCTCAAGTCACTTTTTTGCAACTTTGTCACCGTGCCAGAGCTACAGTAGATGTCGGAGGCCTTTGAAAGTCGCAGGATGTTATTAGGTCATTAGTAGCTACAATTTGTATATCTCGGAATTTTGATATCGGTGACCTAAGGTCAGGTCAATTTCGCGACCTCCCCATTATAAGTCAATGGGGGAAAAATCAACTCCCTGTTTTTACCACTAAAACGGGTCGGAATGGCCCCATATACCATACATGACTTCATATACGGTCAACCTTCACTACCTTGAGGTCTGTTTTGCTGTTGGGCAGCTGTGAGGTCATGTGACGTCATCAAAGGTCACCAAAGGTTTTTGGCCAATAACTCCGTACAGGAACAAGATACAGACGCGTGGATGGTCTCATTGTGTTCAGCTCGTCAAGACGCATCGAATGATATACATGATGACCTCGAGGTCACGTGACCTGAGGTCAACCTTTGACCTTGACCTTTCGAGGTCAACATATATATCATTCGATGCGGATTGACGAGAGGATCACGATGATGCCCTTAGTTTGTTCCTATCTTGACTAATTCGAAAGTTATTCGAGAAAAACTCTCTCCATATTTAGCGCCGCCATTTTGACTTTTTCGACCCCTGTGACGTCATCTTTGACCTGACCTGAAAATGACCTTAGTAAAAATGGTAGATCTTGACCGTGCGTATCCGATGCCGTTTACCGCTTGTCGCTATCTTGCTTCGTTCTCGAGATCTCAGGGGGGGGCGGTCATCCGCCCCCCCCCGTCGGTACTAAGTTGGCGCAGACCCCCGTCGGTGCGCGGGTTAAAAAGGCTAGCGTAAAATAACGACGTAGACATGAATTTTATGTAGTAGCGCTTGGTTTCCTTTAATTGTCTGGGAGTTTTAAACTCTGCCACCAACAACTGGCTACAGCGACATGAGGAGATTCGCAAAATGAGTTTTGAAATGTGGTGGCCACTTATCTTAATTTGTTCATTTGATATGTTGCCGAGACAAAAGCTACAATCCACCCGTATAAGGAATGCCGACAGAGTTATATAAATAACGTGTTGCTATTTTTGCTCTGTCGAACTAAAAGCTAGGGGGAAGTGATTTTCGTGAATGATTTCCATGATGATTTTCAGGGAAGAATATCATATATATCTAGCAACGTATCCACTGATGTTATCCTGGTCCTCTTGATAGCGTCATATACCTATGGATTGTTATTTGTTTATAGCCGTTATCCGTTATGTCGAGATAATCCTTGGCCGTGTGTTACAGCTGTCACCTCACGCTGTTTCTACAACGAGCAGGGCGTAGCTGCGTGTAACAGGTGCCAGTGTAACAAAGGAACGTGGGCATGCACAGAGGCCCTATGCATTCCGCCATGTAAGTATTGCTAGGGGAAAGTGGGGTAAGACGGGCGGGGTAGGAAAGACGGGCACCGGCCCTCTAGCCCAAACCGTTGGCGCTAGCAACCTCTTGTTGTGGTTGGTAATCGGCCGTGTGGTTCTTTGCTGTGAGGTGAAGGCAGAGGTACGCATCTTAAATAGTTTTTGAAAAATTGTGGAAAAGCTAAAAACGTGCCTTGCACTCTAAGCAGAACTATCGTGTTTCGTAGTGTTTTCTGACCTCGCTGTTTCATATTTTGTTTTGGAAATTTGATGAGAGTTTCGTCTTAGGGTGTCATCCAAATGTGTATGCTGGCGAATGAATCCTTTAATTTGGTGCCCGGAGGCGGTGTGATATCCTTATTGGCAGCCGAATGGGGTAAGACGGGCAACAATGATGAAAGGAATGCAAACCATCTGATATTGTTATTTTAAGCTAACTTACGCTGTTCTACATCATTTGCAACGCATTTCCATCGAAATTATTTAAATAGACAGCTTTGAATTTGTTTAATTTTTTCATTACATCGATCAATACCATTACGCCTATAAGTAGCCGTGCGATGCTACGAACCTTACAATATTGACTGTAAGATCAAAAGCCAGATGTGTAAGATGTATTAGCATAATTATTCGGCAGTAAATATGTAAAGAAGTTCAAACTAACGTTGTGCCCGTCTTGCCCCAACATCAGTGCCCGTCTTACCCTCCCCGGTGGGGTAAGACGGGTTTTTGCAGGGTCTTGCTAAAAACACTCTCAATTGAAAAGTATTGGATTTAGACCTTAGGTGTCAAAGGGGCACTGAAAGAAAAATGCCTGAAGATGGTTGTGCTAAATTGGTGAAGCAATCGAAGAAAAGACTTCAGAGGTACAGACCCGCAAAACTAACATGCCCGTCATACCCCACTTTCCCCTACGCCTAGTTCTACGGCAGGTAATCCTACAACACGGCGATGACACTTAGGGGAAGCGGGGGTAACACCGCCACTGTGGGAAACACCGCCACCCCATCTGGCGGCGAAAGTATGAAATGTGAAGTGTAAAAATCCGTTATTTCCTATTGACCGCACGAAGGTAAGCGTCTTCTGATTTGTGTTCCGGTGTTTCAGTGTAATCGAAGCTCAATGTGGGCATTTAAAGAAAAATGCACATTCTCTTATAAAAATTCGATGAGTTGGGAGCACTTTTGAATGTCTTTAAGTAGAGACTCATTTTGATTTACTTGATTACATCGAAAAATAACTGATCGGCTTTGTCCAGTAAGATAAGTTTGCTTGAACCGTGTAGTACATTCTTACCGCTGGCGATTTTTGCTTGTGATCACTTATTGGGGAACACCGCCACCCCGTGGCGGTGTTACCCCAATTGAGGTTGCGGTGTTTCCTGTTTGTAGCGTGATAAGTGATGAAACTCCAAAGACACGCTTTATTTATGTTCGTAGATGTTCCTAAGTCGCGAATAAGCAGCTTATTTGATTTTTTACTTTATATTTTTCATGCATCCCGACCAAGCACTTGCCAGCTGTATAAAACTGGCAAACAGCTGATGAACCTATACCTATTTAGGTGTCCATTACCGATTATTTGCGAAAATTACCACTTACCGACAGGAAACTCATCGCACACGATCTCTGAACAATTTCAGAGAGCTTTCGCTTTCGTAGGAATGGGTTGGGTTAACATCAACACCGGTGGCGGGGTTACCCACACAATTTGTAGGCAGCAAATATGCAAGGTATTTTTAAAAGTCGTGATACATGAAAACCTTTTAGGAGCATGCAAAATAAGTACCTAAAACACGTGAGAAAATGTTTAAATATTGTAACCAAAACAATAACTACCAAGAGACTTCACACATATTCTCTCATTTTGGCGAAAAGCTTAGGGGGGCGGTGTTACCCCCGCTTCCCCTACGTGAAGTTTGTGATCACTTTGTGTCGTTTATGTAATATTTGCTTAATTCGAGTAACTTCGGGGTTGATTCGGGATTTCGTTCCTACCAGTCATTTGATCTCTTTCTAATCTCTTCTTATCTTATCTGGATTTGTGTTTGGGAAAAATTATGTCATTAGTAATTTTATCTCACGCGTTTCAGGGCGCTTCCCCGGCAGTGCTGTGCCCTGCTCTCAGGCCCCGGACCTCTGCTAAGGTCAGGCTGCCTCGTTGCTGTCCCCTCCGCGCGTCTGTGCGGTACGGTGACCGTGTCGGGTCGGGCGGCGCCGGCGCCGCGCCGGCGCCGCCCCGGCGAGAGATGCGAGAGAGCTGAGGGGCGGCGGCAGAGGTCGGGAGACACCGAGCCAGCTCACAGGCCTATATATAGTCCGAAATATACGTAACGCTTTGTCTGTTTGTGTTCCTTTTAATATCATTGTGGTGGTTCTACAGTGAATTTGAAAGAAGTGAAGCGCACGGAATGATTCGACAGCACAAAACTTAACCCGCGCGGGGCTGGGGTCTCCAGCCGAACGCGCGGGGCTGGGGGGGGGGGGTAAATTTTACCCCCCCCCCCCCTGTTATCTCCCGAACTAATGGTCCGATTTGGAAAAATCAAACGCCAATCGAAAGATCTCATCACGAACAACTAAAAACATGTACTTAATTTAAGGTTTGAGGTCAAGGTCAAGGCCAGGTCAAGGGTACAAATTGCAAGTTTCTACAGTATCGGCCTTGCACCGTAGTTGCCGAAGAATGGAGTCATCGACTGAGACTGATTGCCCAAAACGTGTTCTTAGGCTACCAAGACAATATTCGTTGCATACAATATCATTCAGAGGTCAAGGTCAAGGTCAGGTCAGGTCAGGTCACCAAAAAACAAAATATAGAAAAGGGCATGTGCGACACATGTTTTATGGGTCATTTTACTCATAGAATTCAATAGGCACACTCAATAAGTGATATGGACCACCTCTGGATGAATTTCAGGTCGAGGTCAGGTCAAGGTCAGGTCAAGTGAGGTCAAATTTTGAAATTGGTTGTTAAGGCCTAAAAAGGTGTCTATCTGATGCAGTTTTTCACGGCGAATCGAATGGTGCTATTTTTGTTTCCGTACGAGGTCTAGAACTTCCAAAAATTCATTTTTTAAAAAATTTGTGTGTCGTGACGTCATAAAATCTTGAATAACTCCCACATTTTTGAACTGATTCTTCTAAAAATTGGTATGTAGGTGCACATAGACCACTTCTCTGACTTCTATTCCGTTTTTTTCGATAAACTCAAAATTTTGGATTTTATAATTATTTTCCCAAAAAAGTCAGTTTTTTGAAAAAATTTGGGCCAAAATCCAAAATTTTCAAAAAACCGAGATAGCCATTTGATAGAAAAAAGAGAATTACGTATAACCTTTTTTGTTACGTCTTGATTCCTTTAAAAATGAAGATGTTAGCGGCGTTTGAAATTTTGCCGTTTTTTAAGCGAAAATGGCGAACATGACGTCACTAAAACGTCAATTTCTCCAAAATTGTCCGACGGATTTCGCTCAAATTTTCCGGGAACGTGTCAAATTGATGTAAGAAAAGGTACTGAAAGTTCGGCAGCGCTGCGCGCCGCCGTTTTTGAGATATTGCAAAAATTCGCGAGGGGGGTAAAATTAACCCCCCAGCCCCGCGCAGGTTAAGGCAGCACAGTTGTAAATTTAAGGGTTTTTTATACATGGTTCATTATTCACTGACATCAAGACATGTGTATCACGAATGTATGGATATCACGGAAAAAAATCACACAACTTCACTGCAGAAAAAATAAGCCATTGCCGACAAACCAGATTCAGAGCATTCAAGCTGACAGAAAAAGAACAATATCGCTGACGAAATCGATTTTACCGGAGGCAGAACTCAGCAGTTCAAAAAATGGTTTTGTGTTACAAAAGATTAAGTTCAGTTCAGTTCAATTCATTTTACTGAGTAATCGAAACAAAACAACCAACAAGCTCAGTAGTGGATCAGCGCAAAAGATAAACTTAAATTAAAGCGCCTCTCTTACCCCGCGCCCCACACTGGGGTCTGCGTATAACACGCCCTACTGGGGGGGGGGGGGGCGGGGGCTCTTCATGCCCCCCTACCTAACTCCAAAACTACTGGGCCGATCGTCAAAATTCAAACGGCGTCTGATAGCCCCGGAAAAACTGTCGTACGAAACCTAATTTCATTAACCTCGAGGTCACCGATGACGTCACAGGTCAGGTCAAAGTAAAAATCATTAGCATTTTGGCATGCTCACATTTTGGGCTCTGGCCGCCGTCTTACAAGTCAGATTAGGCTCATTTTTTGTTTACACACTCGTGAGCAGATGCTCTAGATACCCTGAGGGTACCAAACTTTTACTTTAATTTTCAGGTCAGGGTCAGGTCATCACAGATCACGGAAATATTATATCATGCGTCGGTCACGTGACGCATGTTTTATGGTCCTTTTAGGCCATAGATTTCGAATTTGATGTCGTCTGTGTCATTCGAGGTCATTTTGAGTCGAATTTAGCTAAGGTCAGGTCACTTTCAGGTCAAAAAAGGTCAAATTTTGAAGTTGAAATTTTTCACCAAAAAGTGTCTATAGGATGCAGTTTGAGATCAGGAACACGATGGTGCTATTTATATTGGTGTACGATGTCAAATACGTACTGAAAAATTGATTTCAAAAATTAATAATTGTGATTTTTTTGCAATAATGCGTATAACTTGGCCATTTTTGAAGATATTTAGCCAAAACTTGCTAGAGTTAGTCATAAGCATGCGTTCTATCACATATATTCCTTTTTCGAAAAGTAAAAACTTTTTGAAAAGAAATATAAAAGAATAAATTTTGAATTTTATCATACAAAATTTCCGATTTTTTTAAATTATAAAAATCCGAGATAGCAGTTTGATAGCGCAGTCTATTCTGAGTCCTTTAATGCAATGAAATTGGATCTAGCTTAAAAACTGAGCTCTTAGGAGCAATTGCCATGGTTCAATGTTTTGCGTCGAAATCGGCCGAACATGACGTCACTCTGACGTCATTTTCGGCCGACCTAAGGTATCTACGAAGTTCATATTTTGACACAAGGTGTCAAATTGATGCAGCCGAAGGTACTGAAAGTTTGGCGTTGATACGTCAAGCGGTTTGGAAGTTATTGCAGAAAAAACGGGAGGGAGGGCTATGATGAATAGCCCCCCCCCCCCCCCAGTGCACAGTGGGGATTTTTTCCGATCTAGCACCTATTTATTCGTAGAGGGCAAACCATAGGTAGAATTGTAGCCAGATTGTGCACAGATGTTGGCTGGTGTGTCCTGGTGAGAATTTTACCTGTAAATGTGCATAATCAACATAGTATAGGGGTTCAATTGGACCCCCCGCTCAGCCGTTTGGCCCCTGATCAAGCTAGAGCTTCGCGGAAAAGTCAAGCGTGCTGCCTATGACGAAATTAGGCCGAATATATCCAATTTCAAAGTCCAAGGTCATAAGCTGACTTTCCAAGTCAGTTTAATGACCCAACTAAAGTTGGGAAATCGAGACCTCTTGAAACTTCGCAAAGTTAGGGTGTTACGGGGTATTTTGGGGTGCTGATCACGAATTTCATGTTAGTTTTGATCACAGACGATGTCTTTATGCATTTAGGCCAGGTCGGGTCATGTCACGTTAGATCAATTAGTAGGCGTCCTGCCGGCCATCCATAGAAGTGTCACCTACTACTGATAGCTTCGTAACATGGAACGAAGGCACTAGAACTACTTCGTAAATATTCAAATGGCTGCTAAAATTGAAATCAGCACCAAAAACTACCCTAGAAACAAGTAAAACTCGAAAAAGTGAACCAAGGTCATCAAAAGGTCAATGACCTTGACTTGACCTTCACGTGACCTTGACTCCCACCATTATGCATGGCACCAACATCATTTCACATATTTGAACGTTTAAAACCACAAAAAGACTGGAAACCGCGGATAATGTGAGCTGGCATACGCCGAATCGCGATTCCGGCCAAACATGGTCTCGAGAAATATGCCACAGGTCAAAGGTCAGTTGGGTCAGAGTCATGAAATTTTTAGGTTAGATGTAAAATTGATGATCTCGAGGGTACCGAAAGTTTCGGCGCGATCGGCCGCTTTTTGCGCGAGTAATTTGCGGAAAACCATGGGGTTTTATCCGACCCCTTCCCCCTCCCCCTCCCCACAAGTGCGATGGTTAATAAGGTTACGGTATGTATAATTTACGCTTGTCATCCTATTCCTAATGAATGTGTCTCAGAAAATATGCATCATATAAATCACGAAGTAAAATTATTCGCCTATGTCCGGAACATACCTATATCGTGCTGTTTGCCCTAGCGCTCCTCGAGTGGGGTGTTAAGATACTCTAATGTGAATATTCCGTGTTCAGGCAAGTTTCGGCAGCCAAACTAGGCGTTGTCTTGTGCAGAAGAAAGTGGCGAATTCGATAGGATATATTTCGGAGTGGAAAAGTGTGGAGAACATTGTTGATTTCCTACATTTATTTAGAATACCATTCCTTCAATATGGTGTCTGTAAGGGTTTTTTGTAATGGGCATTTTTGTGACCTTAGTAAGGTTGTGGCATACTTTCTGTTTGCCATTCCATTTCCAATAAAGGTGCCTTTCAGACGATATGCAACTTTAAGACCTCGCAAGATTAAAACCAACAGGACAGGACAATGAAATTGAGCTATACTTTCGGGCCTTGCTGAGCCCATTGAGAAATCACGCATGAGTGTGAACTTTGGTCGTATTTTTCCTAGTTTTGCTGTGGACATACAGATAAAACAATGCCATATATGAAAAATTCAGACATTTCTTAGCCCTACTGACACAAAAAATAAATAAAAATCCAAAAAATATTTTTTGAATTAATAGGCGCTAGATCGGAAAAATCCCCACTGTGCAGTGGGGCGCGGGTTAAATGAAAACAACAAATCGCGCAACCGGGGTCAGCCAGTACCGACCCGGCCAGCAGCCCGCCGAGCAACCCCCTGGACCGGTAGGGCCCCTGGGACGACGGCCGGCCCCAACCCGGTCAGCCAGTGGTGAGAATGATGAGCAATAGGTAAGGCGTGCCATTCCAGTAACATTTTTATCTAACATGCAGCCGTAAGTGACGGCTCCTCAGACCACAGCAGCAAACGGTGATGCCGGGGAGTTGGGCGATGCGGGGCGGACTCGGCGGCGGAGGTCGCGGTAAGCCCGGTCCGAGCCCCAGGGTCTCGCGCAGCGTCACGTCGAGCAGTCTCAGCT